AGAAATTTTTCGAATACTTGATTTTCAGCTCTTACTCCACCTAGCTGTATTAACTCATCATTTCTTTCATCTCTTTATACAGAAGGAAATAGTACTGCTTAGCTTCGAGGAAGAGTAAAAATAGTAGAAACCTTCCTCATAGAAAACCTTCCTCACAGAAACATCATACAGCAATAGTAAAAAACATCCCTCTTTTGTTTTTTTCTTTCTACCTACTCACCCCCCCCCCACAGTTGACCAATCTTGTAAAACAATAAGAAAATCATTTTCATGTTTGAACCAAAGCTCATTTTTAATTTTTTGTTTTTTTTCATCCATCAAATCATTCAGTCAGTCATTTCATTCATTAGACTTTAGGTTTTGGGGGTAGATTAGACTCATTATTGTGAGTATTGTTAATGGCTTTCTTCATTATACTCAGATGACTTTTGAATTCTAACATAATGATCGGTCATTTTTAAATAGAATGTAAGTAATTTCATCATTAGGTAATGATTTTATGAAATTGGGAAAGAGATGAGCTTACTTAACAAACAAAGCTAACATTCTTTTCCTCGTTTAGTTTTTAAATTGTAAATGACATTCCCAAATTTGGCTTTGCCGTCTCTTTAGTCATGCTTAAGTTTGAAATTCAATTTTTTCGGTCTTTTTTGTCATCCGCTGAAGAAAAATGTATTTTATGGGACTACATTGTGTACTTGCCCATTAAGACGGAGGGTGGAGAGGGAATGAGGATTAAGAAAGCCATGGGAACAAAGGGTGTGCTTAATATAATTTATGGTTGCCATCATTGTGATTGGTTGAAAATTGAAATGACCAAGAAACACCATTCAAAGATGTATCATTACAGTTCTGATGATATACGGTTATTATGTGTATAAGTCACTTCATGAATCTATTTATTAGTAAGTAAGTTTAAGTCTAGAGTACATTTCGTATTATTAATATTGAAGGTTGAATCATGTAATGGGATTACATAATGCATTGCAACATTCAAAGGTCTTAAATTATAATGATGAAGAGGAAGAAAAGCATAGACTAAGCTCTACTTGCTGATGATGCAAACATAACGTTTATAGAGTATATCTCATGTGTTGATGATACATCTCAAAGAGATGTCATGGATGGTAATGTAGAATGTTGATTGAGTAGGAGGCAGATGTTTCGTTATGTGTGACATCAATTAGAAGAAGTGGGTTATTCATGTACATTTTTGATTATATTAGTTATACTGAACACTAGGTTATATAATAGGGTATAAGCTGCTGTCAATGAAACATGATGATCTCTCCATAGGCCTTTTCATTTAATATCCATATCCATCTGTGAATGGAACAGCTTGTGGGCTAGCGGCTTGAGCTGGATCAACTCCATTGGCAACCGATGCTGTAATATTAATGAGGTGATTATATTACATGTTATTATTCTCACATTCATCAGGCTTTTGTTTTCCGTCACTTTCCAATTCGTTTATTTTAATTTCAAGATTGAATTCTTCGAAGCGACGATAAGCCAATAGAGATGTGATGCCCTTCAAAGTTATATTTTGATATTAACATAACAATCATTGTTCGTATACCCATGCGATTGATGCAAACAGTGATATCATGATTCCTATCTTGGCATAGCTCAAGTTGGCTTCGTCCGGAACGGAATTGCCAACTTTACTCCAGAACATGATGAAAGCCAGCAAATGGATGCAAGCAAATGAAACTAAGATGAGAAGTTGAAAGTCAATATTATTCTGCTTTCTACCGGCTATGTAAATGTCAATCTTCATAATGCGTCTTTTAGTTGGCATAGAGCTCTCGTTTGGTAAACGCAGATCAATATAGATAGCAACTGCTGAACCGACAAATGCAAAAAATCCAAGAGCGGAACCAAAAGAGCAAGTTGTTGAACTACCTCCATAAAGGCAAACCTAAATGGCAGATGCAAAGTAAGCTAAAATATTATTTACTAACATGGCGTTCGAAGCCGGATCCAGAGTCATGATAAGCTCCAGTTGTGATGACATACCACAAGCAAGCGCCAAGAATCTGGTTTTAAAGAAATTAGATAGAAAAGCCGAAGGATTTAGAAACTTACGAAACAAAAACACTTGGAGAATGAGATTGGCTTCTCAAAGAATTGAGCCAAGTTGATGTTACGGCTACCAATTTGATAGATGTTGTTAATGGTTTGCATCTTGGAGCTACAATAGGTTGTTTTAGACTGAAACGCTTTTCGTATATTTATTCTTTCGAATATCCACTGAGAAAAGAACGAGGAGGAAAAAAATCGAATTTCACAGCTGTGATGGGCGGCGGTTAGATTGTCAGACCGCCCATAGAAAGACACTCACTCGACTTGAAGCTTGCCAGACGGCTAGAGTATCTCCCATTCTGGTAATACACAAACAGAAAACGTATAAGCATTGATTCTAAGACTCAAAACTTTAAGAAGTAGAGTAGATTGGGAAACATATAAAGATTGAAAAGCTCAATAAGGAAGAACGTAGGAAGACGAAATGGATTTTGGAAGCGGTGAACAACCATTTTCTATGAATAGAAATTGTGATTTGTTCTTTGTTAATGAGTTTCATGTAAAGGACAAAGAAACTTCAGCTGCAGTAAAGAAAGTGAGTGTAGCCTTTTGTGGGATCTCTCTTTCAGCAAAACGTTAGCGAAGGGCTTTGAATAGGATCAATAAATTACGGAGTAGTTGGGTCTACTCATCTTTTCAGTTTCACATCGATCTTCACCTTCGGCCTGGCCTAGCGAAGCAAAATGATGGGAGGGCATTGTGTGACGTGTCGTTAATAGAAACGTTAAGATGTGCATTTAAATTAGACCAAAAGTTAGTCAGCAAGACAGCTTAACAGTTTTTAGCTTTAAGAATGCTCTTTTAATCCGAATTTCTTATAGCGCAATGTGAATTAGCATTTCAAATTATGCTTGGAGGGCACAGTTGTCTGGGACTCTGAGAAATTTTAATTCGCATTTCCTGAAATAGTCAAAGGAATGGCGAGAGAAATGAGAGAAGAAAATTCAAATTAGCTTAAGAAAATTGGAATTTAAATTTGAAAAACGTAAGTGCTTTCATCAAACGACTACGGTATAATATTAAAAAGATTAAAGATTACCAAAAAAGAAGAAGACAGACGGGATTGTAAAAAAACTTTTATTTCTATTGAAATATTCATAATTTTTTTAAAAAAATATGAATTTTCCATAAGTTCTCTCAGAGAGATCGGGAGTGTTGTCATTATCATCAATTTGATTAACAGTTATGCTGTCTTCTAGTATGGGTCCGGTTACATCGGCATTGCTTTCAACAGATCCTAGGCAGTCTTCAACGTTAATGTTGATTGTTCTTGAGCATGTCATGATTCCTTCGATAACTGTAATATTATAATTAATTGTATATGAGGATTATTGAAACTGCTTCAGTTCACCTTCGCAGCTGAGCTTTCCACAACTGACTGGACACATTTCTCTAACTTTCTTCCAATTTTGATCACAGAGGCCATTCAAAGCCCATTCACAGCAATTCCTTGATTTGTCAGTCAATGCAATCGTATTTGCTGCATTTTCTTGTGAAATTGGTTTGTAAGTTTATTTTCGAATGTTGAATAAGCTTACTCATGCTGAACTTTCGTAATCCAGGAACGAAGTTGTTAGCAGGGACTGTTGTTGTCTCAACAAAGTTTTCATGTTTGGTTGAGAATACTCTCGTTTCAACGTCTTTGGGACGGATAGACGGCATCATCACAATATGCTTTAAAGGCTTCGTCTTAATCAAATCTTGCAGGTTCTTCTATAACATTATTGATTGCATCGTTATAGTTTTAGAAAACTATACTCACGTTTTCTTCATCTCGAAAGACTTGTTTTTGTGTTTCAACAGGATTATTATTATTCTTACTATCGTTAGAATGGACAGTTACTCTTTGTGGTTGTTCAAATTGCTGGAGGTTTTCATTTCTGAATAATGTAAGTTTAACAGTTTGAAGTAGATTTCAGACAACTTATCGAGATAAAATTCATCGTAATTCCTCCAACCTAATGACTTTCGGAGCATAATTATGCATTGTCTGGGAACTTCATTAGATTTACTAATTAATGAAAAGATTGATTCAATCTCACGTGATTCACATGTCTGCTCAGTCATGTCATTTGAGTTTTCCTTACAAATACTCATGGCTGGATCACAAGAAAGCTTACATCTCTCAAGTGCCGGAACCCAATAAGGATTTGAAAAGGGATCGCCACCTTTATGAAAGGAAGGTTTAAAGCAATTTTATAAAAAATAATGGAAGCTTACAAATCTTTTCGTTTCGATAAACAAATCGAAGGACAAGCTGATTCAAATAATCATCTCGGAAGGAATAGACAAAGACACAGGTAACACATAATATTCGAATAACTGTCTTACAAATCATTCTGCAGACATAAAATTAAAAAATTGTTGCAAAATGTAATATATGGAAGCCGAATGAAAGGAAGGAAGCTGTCACAAAGAAGATACAAGTGAATTGAACTAATTTTTTTGTTGAAGAAAAAAAAAAGGTGTCGGGTGGTAATCGAGAGTAGATAGATAGATGCTTATGTATGCATACAGCACCCGGTAGGCACTTTTCACAATGAAAGCAGGTCATCAATGTTCCTCATTATTCTTTAAAACCACACCCTTTCTTTTTTCCTTTTGTCGTTTTTATTCGTAACCATTACGATCTATGAGTAGCTAATGGTATCAAACGGAGTAGAAACATAAGAATAATCAGAGATTCTAACTGGGAGAATCTCATAACCATCGTCTGAACACAACGGGATCAAAGCGCTTGGCCTCCTTTCTGTGACAGTTCTGACAGTTTCTGTTGATTTATATTGTTCATGATAATGTGACAGTAGAAGATGACTTTCCATATTTGTTCAATTGAGATTTAACCGTGTGGTATGATGAAAAGAAGGGAATACATTTGAACACATTTTGAACTTTGAAACATAAAAAGTACACACAAAAGAAACTCAAAATATGTCATTCAGTAAACTATTTAAATCGAGGTCAAGAGTACATAATGAAAACTTCTTAGTCGAACAAAGCAACACTTTATTCAAGTAGTTTGTTATAAAATGCATTGTAACCAATCTTATATGCTATGAAATACATAATACCTATGTATACACGAATAAATCCATGAAAACATTTTTTTA